AAATATTTTACGAGATATTTTATTTTTTATATCAAAATATGTCAGATTATGATATAAAATACTCAAAAAGTACTTAATGAAAACATATTTATTATAGAGTTTTGAAAAGGTCTCGACAAGGGCTATAAGAATATGCAATAAAAAATAGAGGTTTTAATTTAAGAAATTCAATGTGACCTTGATATGACCTTAACAATGCCACCCAAAGTCTAACTAATATTCATATCTCTTTTCCCCCTCAGAACCAAACAATTTTTGTCTAAAAAGTTTTCTTCTAAAACTTACAGGTTTTAAGATATTTGCCTGTTAAGATTAAAAAGACTCACCCTGTATATCTTATAATAAAATGTTTTTTTATATTTTTATAGGTTCGTGGTGATCTAAGCACCTTTTGTTGGATAGAAAATGATATATCCGTAGATTCTCATCTGAAAGATTTGATACATGTGATCTATTCGTCTATCAATTTCAAGGATGTAATGTTAGCTACTGCCAAACTAAATTTGGGTTCTACGGCAATATCGCAAGGACGATTTCAAAATATATGTCTTGGAATAGAATATGTAGGATTCGATACCAATGGACGCCGCGTAATGGGACTTTGTGATAATAAGTAAATATTATATATGTCCAAATAATTATTATGTAAAATATTATTGACTAACTAATTGTTCTTTCTAGATGTATAGCAAACGTCGTTGTGAAAGATAAAGATTTATGTTGGAATATACTTGATACATGGACATTCGAAGAGGCGGCTACAGTCCCGTGCGTTTACAGTACGTGCTACTTCGCTTTATACATTTGTGGGAAGATGAAGAAAGGCGATAAAATACTTATACATTCCGGTACTGGAGGCATTGGACAAGCAGCTATCCACCTTGCTCTTCGTGAGGGATGCGAGGTGTTCACTACCGTGGGTACAAATGAAAAGCGAGAATTTATTAAGGAAACGTTTCCAGCTATTATGGATGAGCATATTGGAAACTCTCGAGATACCAGTTTTGAACAATTGATAATGTTGCAAACAAATGGTCGTGGCGTGGACATCGTATTGAATTCACTGGCGGAAGAAAAATTAATCGCATCCATTCGTTGTCTAGCACGAAACGGTCGTTTCCTGGAAATTGGCAAGTTTGATCTTGTTTCTAACAATCCTCTAGATTTAATCGTGTTTCAAAAAGGCATTAGTTTTCACGGAATTCTACTAGAAAATATGTTTGTCGGTCGTCACAAGTATAAGTTTCTATTATCCAAAATGATGGCTAACGGCCTGAAAAATGGTTCCATCAAACCGCTTCAGGTGAAAGTTTTCCCAAAATCAGAAATTGAGACAGCGTTTAGATATATGGCAAGTGGGAAACATATAGGAAAGGTATGCAGTGTAACTCATTTTACACAGTATTTATATACAGTAATACAACAATTTGAAATACTATAATATCTCGACATCTCTCTAATATATAAATATATATTTTTTTAGATAATTTTAAAGATTCAAGAGGAAGATCAACCTTTGAACGGATTTTTTGTCGCACATCGTCGTTACTATTGTCTCAGCGACAGAAGCTACATTATACTAGGAGGTCTAGGTGGATTTGGATTGGAGTTAACTGACTGGTTGATTCTACGAGGTGCTAAGAACGTTGTGCTGATTTCTCGTACTGGGATAAAAAATGGTTATCAGCGCATGAAAATTCAATTGTGGAAATCCTACGGTGTAAATGTACTTATTGTCACAAATATCGATTGCGCTAACCGTGAGGATTGCAAACACCTTCTGCGAATTGCGGAAGAAGTAGCACCGGTGGATGCGATATTCAATCTCGCTGTGGTGCTGAAGGATCGCATTCTGAAGAATCAAACTCCGGATACTTTTGCGGAATCTTTCAAATCGAAAGCCTGGGCGACACAAATGTTGGACGAGCTGTCCAGAAAGATTTGTTCTAAACTACAACACTTTGTAATGTTTTCTTCCGTTTCTTGCGGCAGAGGAAATGCTGGACAAACTAATTATGGCATGGCCAATTCCGTCATGGAGAGAGTGTGTGAGAAGAGGGCGAAGGATGGATTACCCGGACTTGCGATTCAGTGGGGAGCCATAGGTGATGTTGGTCTTGTCGCCGACATGCAAGAAGAGGATAAGGAACTCGTTATCGGCGGCACATTGCAGCAAAAAATATCCAGTTGCCTTGACGAACTTGATACATTTTTAATTCAAAGCCGTCCAGTCGTAAGCAGCATGGTTGTAGCTGAGAAGAAGGTAGGATCTTCCGGATTTGACAATATTGCGGAAACTATCGCTAATATTCTAAGTAAGTATTCGCATGCAAACTACCGCATGTTAAACTATATTTTTCGTATAAGATATAGTAAATTAAATATATTCTTACTTTATATTGCCAGATATAAATGACATGAACATGATAAGCCAAAATACATCTCTGGCTGAGCTCGGAATAGATTCCATGATGGTCGTGGAAATCAAGCAAACCATGGAACGAGAGTTCGATATCCATTTTACTCCAAAAGAGATACGGAACCTTACTTTCGCAAAACTCAATAAGATGTCCAACGCAAACACTGGTAGCGATAATACGCAAGCTGAAAAGTCAATCGATACAAGGAAACCAGACGTCATAAAATTGTTCAGTATCGTGAATGACGAACATTTTATGACAGAAATCTGTTTAGATATTTCGACTAAAAAAAAGGAAAATATGGTCCAAGTATTTCTTATACCAGGAATTGAAGGCTGTGGAGCTATATTTAATCACTTAGCATCAAGTATTAAATTTTCTTTGACATTTCTGCAGTATGGCACAAACAATATCGACGCTACAAACATAATATTGGATACGACGGATTATCTTTTGGAGGTATCGCGATCGTATTGATAATTTTATGTTTTATGTGTCTTTTATTAAAGCCGCAGAGAGAGAGAGAGAGAGAGAGAGAGAGAGAGAGAGAGAGAGAGACGTAAAGTACGTTGAATATATATCATCTTAATATTTTTACAGCACGTATTATCAAGATTGAAAGATGGAAAAGATTTTGTAATGGTAGGATATTCTTTCGGATCTATTATCGCAATTGAGTTAGCAAGAAGATTGGAAACTATGAAATTTAAAGGGCGACTTGTTCTTATCGATGGTGCTCCTGAACAAATACGAATGATGAACGAACATTATATGCCAAGTTCAAGCGATGTAGAACATCAAATTGATATTCTGAACATTATTATGGAAATTTATGACATAAAAATCAGAGAAAAGGTATATTTATAATATTTTTTAATGTATGTTAAAATGTATTTTCATTTACAATGAGGGCCACTTTCACCAAACTTCGATTAACTTAATCGTTTATTAACTTACATAACGATCAACATCATAAAATTTCTAACGATATAATTCTCATATATAATATAATACCGACAAATTTTAATTTTCTCTTGTTCATTAATCTGTAAGTTAGTCGACGATTGAATTAATCGGATCTTGATAGAAGTAGCCCTTAGACATTTCAAGCATCTTATGTTTCTCACATTTCCTTCATTTAGTTTTTAGTCAATAATCGTAAGTCCTCCATAATAAGTTGATAGTTATTAAAAAAAACAACCATATTGAAATTCTTTAAAATTTTTAAAAACTATTTAAAAACAAAACATATAAATTTGGCAGGTTCTAGAGGAATTAAAGAAATGTAAAACTTGGGAGGAGCGGTTTGATGTTTTTGCCAAACACTTTTTAGAAATAAATACATTATTGTCACCCATAAATCTGAAAACACTGTGTACAACAGTGTATAAACATTCAGCCGCTATTCGACAATATAATCCTTCTACGCTACCACGTATTAAATCGCCCATAACATTGCTGAAACCTACATTGTCAGATGTATATAAGATTGAAGAGGATTATGGTTTGCACAAGGTATTTTGAAAAAGTTTTGTTGAGATCTATATCTAAAAAATTAAATGCAACAAAACTTTTTTTCTTTAACGAAATATAATATTTAAGGTAACTCAAAGTAAAGTGGAGGTACATTACATCGAGGGTAATCATTTGACGATCTTGAGAAACGAAAAAGTAGCAGCTGCGATTAATGGAGAGATACTATAATTGATACTATAATTGATACTATAATTGATTGTTATCAATTGTGATGCATTTTAATACATATTAATATATTATTCGGTGTCGGTATTTTGTGCATGTTCGACAAACATATTATCAATAAAATGCCATAAAATATTTGATACAAGGTATGTCCTTAATTACTTGTAAAAGATTTCGTGTCGGAATTAAATATTCGTTAAATTATTAATTAGCTACATTGCGAAATCGTGTTCTTTCCACGTTCTTGGACGCGATCACTGTCTTAGCTAAAAGGCCTTGTCACTGTCCCTCTCGTCAGGTAAACGTTAGTAAAATTGCGTAGTTCGTACCGGCAAGGAATCGAAACAATCTTCATCGTGGAGAATTATTTCTTGTCGATTCTTGTAAGATCCATCCGCGATGTTTAGTTCGGTGTTCTGTTGAAAATTGGGGATGTTCGTTGCAGGATTGAAATTAAATTCAGGTTTTCTTGGCAATTTCTGAAAGCAATGATTTCGGTAATAGATCAATGACTGCCACACGCTTTTTAGAAGTCAAATCAGGAAATTAATTTAAATAGTATATTTGAAGGAAAAATATTTTTTTTCTTTCTCTTCGTTAAAAGTGTTCTTCTATCATTGTTAATATTAGTATTATTATTTTCTTAATGTTAAAAAACTTAATAATATATTGAATATGGATATAGCTACTGTATGTGTATATAGATAAATTTCTATTTTTCAAGCAATTTCAAATTGCAATTAATTTACCCGTTTCTATTGACCTTTTTGATACAAAAAATTATGGTCGAATATATTTTATTAATTAATTTTTAATTTATATTATCTTTTTTATTGAGAAAATATTTCTAGCTATTAAAGATACTAAAATTATTTCTTGGTTTCTTTTAAGAAATCATTTGCAGATATTGGACATTCCGCCATTGTAGGAGCATCCCAGATAGTTTTTACATATACCATTCTATATATATATAATAAAATACATGCGCAAATTAATATACTATTTCATAAAATTTTTATACTTTTTTTGAATATTTTGTTACAAAATATTATGTTTGAATATAACGTAAAATGTGCCTATACTTTAAAATTTCGAGACAAATCGAATGGGTACTCCGATATCGGCAAATTAATATCTTCAATTTAATGTATTTAAATGCTACAGAAAAAGATTTTTTCCGCGCGACTCACTAACGTCGATGGAGTTATTGCGCAAGCTAGCTTTAGGATTCTTCTCCGATGAAGTTCTGTAAACATGATCATAGTTCACGTACGTATCATGAATTAGCGAAATGATTTCTTTGTGTCCCTTTTCATCGATTTTTTCTACATCAAGCGCTTCGGATGCCGTTGTCCCTAAATCATTCGCATTTATTTTGGATCCTGAAGAAACTTCGCCCTGAATACCGCGCACTGTAGCCAATTCTTGATCACGAGGACTCTCTAGTTTATGATCCTCTATCTTCAAATCAGCCGAGATTATATCTTTGTTCTTTTTCGAAACAATCTCCTTGTCAGACTTTATAGCTTTGTCTTTCTTTTCGTCGGATTTGATATCTTCGATTACCGATTTTAAATATGTCGAGGAGAGATCTCCTCCGATAGATTTAATAATCGTTATTTCTTGTTTACTTACAGTTACGTTTCTTTTCTCTTCGTACTTGGCAGAGGATTATCCCTTTACGTGTTTAGACGTTGCCGATGTTTCCTTAAAATTCGCACTTAATTTCTCGTCGACAATTTTTTCTTCCATACTTAGAGAGATGTTTGTACTGGGTATTCCTTCATGGTTGGAAAATTCTTGAAGTGTGACGTTCTCAGAGTTCTTCTTAATGTCCTGCTTCGAATCGGTGAAAGCCAGCTTCGTGATTGTTACGTCTTCGGAGATGACCTTCATGATGAATGCTTTTCCCGGAGCTCTCAGCAGCGATTTCTTCATATTTTAGTTTTCCCATCTGACGAAGACGAACCCGAGGTTTCGTCGTTCGATTTTGTCGAATTCGAATGTGTCATGTCGTTTGCATTACGCGACATATTGCTTTCCTCTATAGACCAAGGAAATTAGAATCTTTCTGCAGAAAAATTCGCACCTAGCTAAATTTTTGCATGGACCTTTATTTCGTTGTTATAAACAATATGTGAAAAGTCCTCATCGATGTGACTTTTGCTAAAAATTTTACAGAGGATCCAAAGTAAGAAAGAAAAACAGTTTTTCACGGATATCTCTTTACCCATTAGTCCTACGGCAAAAATAGTTCTTACAAAATTTTGTAGTTTATAAAATTCTGTACAAAAAATGTTGTACAAGTTTTTTGGATCAATCGTTTTTGTATCCTACGGTTTACAAAGTTTCAACTTTCATACGTTTCAGAAATAATGCATTGTTTTCCACATCACCTCATAGAACGTTATGCTGCACGTCGGTAAAACATATTAAGGTGAAACTTTTACTTTTCGTTGTTATTTATTTTCTTTCCATATCTTTGTAGCAGCTTGTTCTTTATAGTTTTTTCATCCGGGATGAAATCTTTACATACACCTTACAGTTTCGTTAAATTGATAATCGTCATTATATTCAATGTAGGAAAAGATGTCTGCCATTGCGAGTGTAACGTTATTATCCTCTAGACGATCAACCTTGCCTCCTGTAATAGGCGATCAGCGCCGACTTTTAACTGGACGCACGTCGGTGAGCCGCCCGCCTGGTAGTGTGCGCCGCCGTAGCGACGGACGGAACGCTTACGCACACTACCAGTCGCCAGGCGCGCGACTAAAGGTCGGCGCTGGCAGACTTTACTCAATAATAACTCCTTTATTAAGCGTTATAGAAAAAAATATTACAGGACTTTTCTGTTCAGTTTACTGTGCTCTACCCGCTCACGAGCGTTGGCACAATCTTTATCGGACACTATATATAGGCGCCTCAGATTTTTATTATCAGTTCGCAAAAATTTGTTTTACTGACACATGTATCTGCTTGAAGATATTTGCAATTCCATTTTAAACATTTGAGTAGTGTTTCAACTGTTCATCGCATCAGATGAATCTGTTAGGTAATCGATAGTATTTGTATAAAATAAAAATTTTATAACATTTTGAACGCGTTATTTTTACATAAGTTTTCTCAAATACCGCAAGTTGTTAGCTTGGTTCGATTGTTATAATCTTATTAAATGTACAATATATTATATTATTTTTACGGAAACTTTTAACAATTAAATAAACAACAAAAACAAAAAAAGGCTTTTGTAACGTGTATTCAAGGATCATTAAAACAGTAGAAGAGCTGAAGAAGATCAACCTTAATTAAGCGATCAAGAACATCACGTCAAGAAACGATGTTTGTCATTATAATGTTATTATCCATGTTTATTTTATTGGTATATTATTATTTCGTACGTTATGGAAGAAACGGACGACTTATTAATCTTATACCGGGACCAGTGGGCGATCCGATTGCTGGCAATGCATTCCAATTTTATGTTTCAGCAGGTAAATATAAAATTTCTAATCTATTTACATTAATTGTCAGACGACCCGTCATTTATATACACATACAAGCAAAAGTTAAATTTATAAAACCTTGTGCTCTGGAACATATATCTATCAAAAGTATTCGCAAGCAGATTGCATATCTTTACTCTTCTCTCGGCAATATCCAAATTATTATCATAATTATTACTTGTTTATTTTCAACATATTTGAGTAAAGATGCAATAAAATAACGATAAAATTAATTCCACTGAAATTTTTGTATCGATATTTTTAATATATTTTTTAGAGGAACAATGGAAACTGAAGTGTAGCCTATCTGATAAGTATTATCCTATTTTTAAATTATGAATTTTCGCCACGTATATTGTGTCTATCCGTCATCTAAATGATCTGGAGGTAATAAAAAAAATTTAATTTTCTATAGACATTGCAATTTAGTTAGATTTAAAAATCTTGCGTTTCACAAGAAGATATTTGCTCGTAAAAAAAAGGTTCCTTAAAAAGATGAATAGAGAAAATATTGATACACTCACAATTGAGATTAGATAAAAATTTGAGATACGATTAATAGATTATTTGTGCATCTAAAAGATCGAGTGATATAATATAAATTAATGTTTCTCTCTTAACATGTTTTCGATGATTTCAGACGATACTAAGCAATACCAAGTGCATCGAGAAAAGTCATCTATATAATTTGTTTCATCCTTGGGTCGGCACAGGTCTTTTCACCAGCACAGGTAATATAATGGCATTAATATATAACCATACATACTTTATATGTATACATGCTACATTGTAGCATGTACTTGTAAGTTGTAAAGCGAGGTCCACCCTGCCTACCGGCGGGGCGGGTGCGGGAGGGGGGCCAAAGGCCCCCCTTGCACCCCTCCCCCGTGTGTGTGTGTGCGCGCGTGCATGTACTTTGGTATATTTCAAACTTTTTTTGTTAATAACTCTTTTTAATAAGCAACAAGCGACGATTAAATTAGAAGAAAAAGTTACTCAGAATTCCTTGATGTTCAAAAACAAAATATTACTATGTTGAATTAATTATTTATTGGATATAGCTTGCTCATTATTTGAAAAAAAAACTTTTCCATCCACACAACAATTGTAGAGTAGACCTCGCTTCGCTTTGTAAAGTATATGCGTGGATACAGTGGGTTCCGCCCCTTCCCCCTACGGGGAGGCTCCACTTTCGAAAGATATAACCTAACCTAAACCAAATTTTAGTTTTAAATCAAGAATAGGTTTGGGTTAGGTTATATCTTCCGGAAGTGGAGCCCACCCTTAGTGGGAGCGGAACCCACTGTGTCCACGCATATACTTTACAACGCGAAACTACGTCCACCCCATAATTGTGTGGATAGGATAGTGGAACGTATGTAGAACTTTGCTTCGCGTTGTAAAGTATATGCGTGGACACAGTGGATTCCGCCCCCACTAAGGGTGGGCTCCACTTCCGGAAGACAAACAACGAGCGACGGCTAAAACCTTTTGAGAGTTACTCAGGCCGATGATCTTGACAACATATGTCAAGGTCAAGGTCATTGGGGCTTGGTCCCCTTTTCGCTATATTTACCTTTTATTGCACAATTTGTGTTATTTTGGTTTTGTTTTAGGCGCTAAGTGGCGTGCAGG